AAAGATGAGGAACTGGCCAACTTTAAATGTCTTTCACGTTACTGTTGAGTCTTGAGGTTTCTTGGAGATCTGGGCTGAGGTGCCATCGTGAGATGAGGATGATCCAGAGGTCTGATCTGCTGTTTTCAGTAGATGGGCCAAGTCTATACGTGATGTCTCTTTATAATTTTAGGGGATTCAAACTGATGCGAAAGGTCATATCTTAGTAGATGAATTCCAGAATACCAGCGTGAAAGGCGTCTATGCAGTTGGGGATGTGTGTGGAAGAGCTCTTCTTACTCCAGGTAAGGCCTCTGCCATACTTGGTGAGGGGTACCCGGGTGTTAAAACAAAGCCAAAGCAGCTCTTCAAGTTAAAAGAATGCGTGTCTTTGCATGGTCAAAATGGTGGAAATGTATGAAAATTGATGTTGGTTGGGTACCTGACCTTTTTGTGGGTAAAATTCATTTTTTCTTAAAAGCTTAAAGTAAAATACTTGCTGAAGACTGAAATTTTCATATGGGCAATACAGTTACCCTCCAGATCAGAGTTCTATGTGGTAGAAGGAAGTGGCTTTCATAAGAAGTAATTTAGACGGATATTCTTGTATGACTACTTGCACTTGATGCAACCAAGACTGACCCTGCCTTCCTACCCTCATCCCTTAACTCAGCCCACAGACTGACTTAACTAGCACCATTTCAAGCTCTTCCTCCCTCCCTTTCTATTAGTGACATCACTCCACCTGCTGTCCACCTGTACCCTGAGGCCTCCACCAGCCTTCCCAGAATGTCTCCCAGGATCTTACCTCAGGGTAGAAACCTACCAAATCATACAACCAAAGCCTTTTAGCTCCTTTAGGTGGTCAGGATGCTTGAACCCAGGAGTTCAACACCAGCCTGAGCAAGAGTGATGTGCAGATTGTATTAAAAAAACAAAGAGATTAGGGCTTGGCGCCTGTAGCACAGTGGTTATGGCACCAGCCACATACACCAAGGTGGCCGGTTTGAACCCAGCCCGGGCCAGCTAAACAACTGCAACAAAAATAGCCGGGCATTGTGGCAGGTACCTGTAGTCCCAGCTACTTGGAAGGCTGAGGCAAGAGAATCGCTTAAGCCCAAGAGTTTGAGGTTGTTGTGAGCTGTAATGCCACGGCACTCTCCCAAG